CAAAAATTTTTGTTGTATTATTATTGGTATTAATTTTTTTCCTATTTTTTAATTTATTTTTTATTATTGCAATGTAAAACTTATTTCCATACAACATTGAAAAATTTTTTTTTATCTGAATTCATTTAACATAAATTTCATTTGGATCAGTTACTCGTGGTGTCAATGATAAAGTTAGCCATGAGTAAACAAATTTCGTTTCAAATATTTTCCTACTTTATCAAAACTTTGCCCTTGAGATTTATTAATTGTAATTGCAAATGCCAATCTAATAGGAAATGGTTTTCGATGTAGATAAAAATGTTCAATCTTGTTCTGCTACATAGACCGTCATTTATACAAATATTTCTTATTTACATGACTACAGCTCCAATTTTTAATTTGAATTTATGAATTGGTATTCCAGAAAAATTAAAAGAATTCAAAAATTCGATTTGATGTATACTATTTTAATATCTATTTCACATTGATTTATTTCTTTTGATTTTGCATAATCAACACTCTAATAAATTTTTTCTTTTGACTTAAATCTGTTTCAAATGTTATTAGTATTGTATAGTGATGTATAACGTATATCTTCATTGTCACGCGATAATATAATTTTAGTTGATGAATCATTTATTGTAATACGATCTCCATAAATATTTTTACAAATGTCTTCTGATTTCCATTCATTGGGTGTTTTAAACGAATCAATTTTTCCTTCCCTTATGTTTAATAAAAATTTCGAAGAACCTCCTTCTTTTTATCGTATGTTGTTATTTAATTTGAAAATTTTGAAGTGTTGCCATAAGTACGAATATTTTATGCATTCGTTAATCATTAAAATCTGCATTTAAAGTGGTTAAAGTTGACTTGTGCATAAACTTTCCGTACACTTTTCTAAGGCTTTCTCGATCAGAAATTTGTCATTCACGTCTGACCGATTTTTTGCAAATAATTTTGCATGATCTTACATCATTTAAAGCGTCTTAATCTTCTTTCGTAATTTTTCAAAGGAAATTAATTTCTACTTTTCTTGTTTTGCTAGATACACATTTTATTTAGTACCAAATACAAAAAAAAATTTTAATGAAAATTTTGCAGGAAACAATTGCTACATTGTTTATATGTAGCAAACACACACACACACACACACACAAGCCAAGTAATATAAAGTAATTTTATAAAAAAAACAACAAAATTAAACAGTATTATACTTTTCTGATGAACATTTTTTTTGCAATAGAAACTCTTGGCAACTTTTTCTTATGCACAACACAAAATGCCGCAATTTTAATAGATAAGTAATTCTCTTTCAACGCGTCAATCAAACAGTATAATTAAAAATTATATCTGAAGTTTTACCGAGCAGATCTTGGAGTTCTAAAGTAATCTTGGAAGTTGTGAGTATTTTTAGCATCGAAAAATTTTGGTCATCTCAGAATGTTTTTAAAATAATGAGCTTTCTCGAGTTTAGACAAAATTAAAAATGTTTTAGAACGAGACAATCAGAATGTTTATATTATACAGACCTAATTTTTGTAATAAAGAGCATAAAATTTATAAAAATTATGGTTTTAATCAGTACAAGTAGCCTAGTCTTTCAATGTAAGAAAATAACTTTTCAATGATTTTGGGTTGTATTAGGCCCGAGTATGAATTTATCTCCCTATTTAAAAGTAAAAATAAATATCGCATGTAATGGTATCTGTAAATGGTTAAAAACCCATTCAAGCACCAAAAAACTAGCTAAGTATTTCTTTGAGATTTTAACACAAAAAATTTTAACACAAGGTACAACAGGTTGTATCAAACGATACCTGAATGCCATGAAATTTTCATTTAATGGAAAATTTTGTTTTTATTTTTTACTAAAAATTAATTGAACAAAATAAGGAAGTTCTTATGCAAGGATGTGAGGATGTAATTTTTTGAACGTCGGAAATTAGAGTGAGAAAACGTATCGTGCATTACTTGGCAAGAACTTTTCATGTACGAAAATTCTTCGAAATGCAGTAGTTGGCAGTGAATAAGTAACCACAGTATCAACTACGTCTCTACGTCATGCGTAAGATTTTTAAATTGTTGTGTTATAAAATTTTAACTATTTTTTGACGTTACAATCAACATAGGACTAAATACTTGAATTGATTTTGATAATTGAAATAAATTATGGTTTTTCAATAACATAAGAACTTTACAATTTATTATGCATAATAATAAAATTACATATTTTAACACATCAGTGCTTACGTGATTTTATTAAGAGAGATTATCTGAAAAGCCTCAGCAAAGTGATATTTTGTTAACAAGCAGTTGTATTAACTTTCTCTAAAAGCGACGCGATAGTTTTGATAAATAAGTGAACAGCTCACGGTTGCTATACAATTTCAATATACAGGAAAAAATGTGGTGTGCCTACCTAAAGATCAGTTGCAATATTAAATAATATTTATTGATTGGTCTAAATAAAATAATTTTTTACTGTTATTGATTTCTATTAGTTAAATCAACTATGTGATCTTTGATTAGCTTACCAAAAGGGGTAAAAACGATTTTTATTATTATGCTTAATATTAATGTTACGAATAACTATTTTCAACCGCAAAGGTAATGAGAAGAAATACATAACTTTTTTTACATACGTTTTTTTTCTTTTTTACAGTTAATTATAATATAATAATGTATTAAAGACACTATTAAAATAATTCCAACATTCTTAAAGAAAATAAATCAGTAACTTTGAATGGTTTATTGCGATACAAAAATACGTATAGTTTGTCACGTTCTTGGGAAAAAAAATGATTTCATTGAGGCAAATAAAAATTATATGTTGGGAGTAAAAGATAATGAAAAAATCACAGCAAGCACATTGAATAGCTTTATAATGTGTGAGTACTCGTAATTACTTACCTAGTGATATACCACGCAATCATTACTTCACAATAGGGATTGAAAGATCTAATTGAGATTGAGAAAACTTTGTTNACCCCAAAATTCATGATGTCTCAACGCGTACTGTTTTTTCCATCATCTTTTCTGAAAAAAAACCATCAAACCAAGAATATATTATAATGTTTGACATTGTTTTCATTAGGTACATTTCAAACAGATGCTTAGCAAATAAAATTGTGTTGATCCTTTAAGATCAAGTTAAATTTCTGTTATATAGCACTGTATAAAGTGGTAGAATTTTATTGTTAAAGGACTTTATATACTAATCGTACGACACTGTTCAGTTTCTTATTGTTATATTGGCTAGGAATTACCTTTTTTACTATTCGTGTAGTCGAAACAACTGATCAATACAGTACTAACATATTATGCTCCAATAGAATGAAGTACAATATTCCCTTAATTCTTCTTCTTCTAATGCTATTAATTTATTTCTTAATTTCATGCGAACTGCGAGTGCTATTTTTTTCCTATCGAGGTAGCAACAAAAATGTCCAAAAGTGACGAAAAACGCTGGAGGTAGAAAAAATGCTTTCCTGTGAGAGAATTGGGGAAAAAAATACAACAGTTGACACACTGCGCTGACATACTTAAAAAGTAACACTGATTGGAGGGCCAAAAAGTATCACTACTCTTTGCACATGTTGCATATCGCTTCTTAAGGTAGCTCCCTTGCGAAAACCTGAGAAACAAAATATGTTCAATTTTGTAGATTTTGCTGAATCCAATGGTAACTCTGTACTTCAAATTTGGACAAAATTTCGAGAAATTTCACCTCAAAGTTGAACCATTTAATACGAGCTCACGTGGAAGAGCATTAAAAAAAACAGCTGTACTTACAAGCATTTCCTGACTCAAAACATTTGAATGATAAACATTTTATGATGTACTAGTAAAAAAAATTCCGTTCTTTTTAATTCTGTTTTGGAAAACGCTGATGGAGATTGGTCATTTTTTAAAGATGTTTGCCAAGAAAAACGTGAAAATCAGTTTCATGGTTATGAGATAAACCGACATTGCTGTACATATATATATA